ATATGTAGTTAAGATAATAGTAATAAAAGTAGTATGAATAATAATGAAGACAATCTAAGTAAAAGCAAAGATAACCTTTACCAGTTAGCTATAAACAAATTCTGGTAGTTCTATTATAATCTTGAAAACCTTCTTAAAGAAAATAATTCTGCACTTACTAAAAGTATGCTTAAGTTTGTTAAATTTTACAAGCAACATCACTCTTTATGAGATACTCATATTAGACTATCAATAACTTTTTTTTTCTAATCATGTAACTTGAATACAAATTGAGTTAATAGTAATAGTCATCAGTGCAAAGGTAAAAGAATTAAAGTCCAAGTTACTGCAACTGCCAAACACAGAAAAAGATTAAACTGTGGATTTAGAAAACTTTGCCAAGAAAGGTCATAAAATAGCACAAATAATATGCACAATAATAAAACATAAGAAGATTTACACTGTTTTGTTATACCTTTATAGAAAAAACAACAAACAAAAAAAACACATTATCTACAACAAGCTTTAAATAAAAATAGACTGAATGATATCTAATAAATATGAAATAAGATATATGTTTGCTCAAAAGCTTTTTATTAAATATTAAAATATTTAAGCATATTATGTTTAGTTAGCATTAGCAGTAGTTAGTATTTTCAATTAAGAAAAAAATCTATACTAAGAAACTATAAAAATTTATATATATTATTATTATAATAAGTAAGATCATACTTATATAAGAATTTTTAATAATAATAAGTAATGATAGTAATAAAGAAGTAATTTGCTTAAGTAAAAAACTTGTATTTTTAAAATTTTGACAATATGCAAAAAGGAGGATCTACACATGCATGCATATTGATATGTATATGTTTATTGAATATTATATAATTGTTTCACAAAATCATGAACTAAGCACAGGTTATAATTTTATCATATAAACCATATTTCAAAAACTTTAAAAAGCAATACTTCTACTTTACAAATTCATAATACCTCTAAATTCTATATCAATATTACTATAAATATTTTTCTCTAAGAATTTAATATAAACTATCTTTTCACTTAATCAAACCACAATTAGACATCTGGTTTTAAAAATTTTTTACATATTACAAAAGACAATTTAGTAACATCAATAAACAAAAAGTTTACAACTATATTAAATACCAAATAACAATAGCACTAATAATGAATACAAAAGCTAATCTTTTAAAAACCTGAACTACCAACTATTTAATCTATTCAAAACTGAACAACTTTGCTACCAAAACAGCAATATATTATATATACATCTGCACCAATTTGGAAAAATATAAAATTCTTAATTCAAAAACATCTCATAATATCTACAATCTAACTTCTTACTATTTTAAACAATTCTTTAACATTATACTATTTAATAATATATATATTTGTCTTTAAATCTTTCTACTTTCATCTCAACAACCTTACCTTTTAAAGAACTTTATAAACTAGCAGACCAATCCAAACAAAACCTTTATTCAACTAAATAAAACATCTACTAATTCTAAACATATATTTTATTTTTTTTACTGCTATCTTAAAGCTTACTTTAAATTTGTAACAACAAAGAATAAAATTATTAATCTTAATTTTAAAGAAGCATTAAACAAAATCTCTTCTCAAACAAGCAATCCACAAATTCTAGTCAAAATAATTGCCTATTATAACATTATTCAAATCTTTAAACCAACTATTACTCAACTTAAAAAATCCTTAACAAGTCATACTTCAATTAAGCAAACCAATACATTATCAAAAAACTTAATATTATTATATCTACAATATCAGAAACTAACTTTATCTACACTTTCAATATATTTAAAATCATTGATAAACTCGATAATAGCCTTTTCTTCTAGCAATATTTATGCATTTTTATTAACATTTTTTTATCTATTTATCTATTCAATTAATATTACTTATCTTAGCTATACTCTTACAATTCTGCTAACTTTCTTTATCTATTTGCTTATTTAATTGACACAACATTTTACTTTTTTAATTATACTTTATTTTTTATTTAATTTATCTTATCTTTGGTTTCTTTTCTTTATATGATATAATTAACCTCTGATAGTGTAAATAGTTAGTAAAATCTATAAATAGCTTACTAGTGTATACTAAAGTAATAAACATTATTTAGAAAATTTCAACTAATTTAGATGAGCCTTAGCCACTCTAGTAGGTGTAACTTGCAAATAAATATATCTAAGTTCTACTCTTGCATGTAGCATTTATATTACTTAGAGTTATAGTTTTATAGTTAGCAGTTTAATGGTTAGCTCTGACTACAAATGTTGATTTTAGCTATAGCATATATAGAACTTCTTTTTGTATTTAGTAACTTCATGTAGTTACTACTTAATAACTATAAATAAAGATAAAAGCAAGACTTTATCTTAATACCAAAAAATAAAAAATAAAAAACAATTTATTAGTATACTAAAATATTAGTAATAAATATAAACTTTATTTTTAATTATTTTACAAAATTTTAATACAGATTTTATACAATTTATATAACTATTTAAAAAGAAATTTATATTTAAAAATATTTTTAATAATTACTTTAAAGTAAAGTTATCTTTTTTTAGAAAAAACTAAAATTAGAACATCTAATATGTTTACTTTTCTAATAACAGAAAATTAGATAGTATTAATTAAATTATATATAAATTCTTATTTTCTTTACTATTTAATATAATAATTACAAATTCTATTTACAAATATACTATGCTAGAAAATCTACAATAATTTAAATAAATTAACATTACAATTCTAATAACTTCAACTATTTTACTATATTTTAAACAATTAAATTAATATATACAGGTCAAACAAAAAAATATTAATACCATATTAGTATTTTTTTTAGACCCAATATTAGACTAATATTAGTTAAAATTTGGCAAGAATTAAAAGCCTATAGAATAAAAATTGGTGTCATATCAGCTTTAAGCAATATTAGTAAGCCAATAGCTCTATAAATAAATCAATAGTACCATTAATCAATTGATTAAAGCTGATGTGACACTAATTTTTATCCTATAAGTTCCCAATTCTAACCAAATTTTAACTAATATCAGTCTAATATCAGGTCTAAAAAAAATGCTAATATAGCATTGATATTTTTTTGTTTAATCTGTAATATTTATAAGTATTAAGCTACCAAATATACATAATACTAATTTAGATATAATAACCTTTTTTTTAAACTAACAATTTCAAACTTATTTATAAAATAGAATTATCTAACTATAATAATTATAAATATAGATCAAATATCTTTAATTATAATTAAAAAATAATATATAATTTTATGAACTTTAAACTTAACTATTATAAATTATTTAACATTAAAACTTTACTAAATAAACTTCCTACTTATTTTTATTTTTATATAATATATCTGCATATACTTTACTATTCTAACTTCTTTTACTACAATTTATCAAACTTCTTAATATATTAGTACATATATTTAAATTTATTACTTATTTTTAATTTTATTTAAACTAATATATTTGAATGTATTAATTAAGTAATTTTTAATTATTTAAAAACTAACAAGAAAAGCTAATTTTTATGTTATGTTATTTACTGATACTCCTTTAACCAAATTTATATTACTTTAATATTATAAGATTTATTTTTAAATTTTTAATTAATATTATACAAAATTTTAATTTTTTCTACAAACTAATTTTATAAACTATTATACTATTTTGTTTAAAGTTAATAAACTTTTTTATAAACAAATATAAAAACCATATTGTATAAACTTTGCTAACTGTAAACAACAATAAAGGCTTAAACTATCATATTTAAATCTTTAACTCAACTAAGTCAAAGTAATAGAATAATTTTAATTGTAAAAACTATATTTATTTTTTTCTATATAAACTATCTAATCAGCTATACTCTAACTCTAATACTTACTTACTTCTTAGTTATGTTATTTATAAAATTAAGATCTTAAACTATTCTTTAAATTAAATATAATATTTTTTATAATTATATTCTAAACTTATAAATTTAAGAAAGTTTTGATTATTTTAATAGATTTAGATTACAGATAAATATGTTTAAACTTTTATTCTTAAATGTAATTTTTCTTTTATTTGTATTTAAAGTAATAGTTAGCAATTTAATAGTTACTTATAACTTAAAGTATTAATTTTAATCATAATATTTATATAAAAAATTACTTTTTGTATATAGCAACTTTATATAGTTGCTAACCTTTAAACTACTAATAAAAATATAAGTAAGGTCTCACTTTAATACAAAAAAAAATTTGGCATAAAAATAAATTATTTCAAACTATATGTTTTAAAAATTTAAAAAAAATCTAATATGTTTTTAAAAAAATTTTATTAGTAACCTATTTTTATTCTTTGTATAAATTTAAATTTACTATAAAAAGCATATAACAAATAATCTACATGTACTCCACTCTTAATTTTTTAATATTTTTTTTTAAATATATTTTTTATTAAATTTTCACTTGGCATAATTTTTTAAATAAGACAAATCTAAAAGATTTATATTATACAAATAAAAAATTGAACTAAACTTGTAAAACAAGTTTATATTTGGATTTATTGTATCTTCTCAGGTATTTTATAATTTGAGAAACTTCAAATTCATCAACTATAAGATATTACTAAGATAAAAATGAAATTAATTAATAGTTTTTTTTATATAATTAATAGGTAAAGAAAGAGTTATCTTGAAATGAATATTAAAGGCATTCTTTACTTTTTTTATAAATAAAGGAAATGAAGTATATCTGATAATTCTCATGCAATATGGCCTAAACTTAGTGCAAAAAATTAATAATTGATGAAAATAAAATTAAATGTATTTTTGTATATTTACAATACAAAATACCAAAAATCGAAAAATAGAATTATGAATTGTTTACATAATAACTTTGTAAAAATTTATTTATACTTTTTAAGCGGTTTGAATATTTCAAAGATTAATTTATATTATTCTAGTTCATTATTATTCGCGGGTTTATCATTGCCTGCTGGATCATTATTACCTGGAATTAATAACTCCATAACTCTATGCCAAAACCTAGTCATTACAAACACAGTAAAGGCAAGACTAGAAAGTTCAAGATATAAGTAAGTTGGTGTTCCTTTTTTTGCAAGTCCTACAATTCGATACGTGGACATTGCTAAAAGTTGCAACACATCAATGCTGAATAGAATTTTCTGCATACGAATATCTTGGCGCATTCCTGGGGTAAGATTTTTTTGATTCATTCTAAACAGATTGATATAAAAAGTAAGTTCCAGAAGAATGTAATAAATGCGGAAGACGGTCGCTATCAAGTCATTTATCATAAAAGTTGTAGGTATGAATTCACATTGAGGACCACAATATGATCCTTGGCATTTTGCACAGTTATAAATGGCGATGCTAAACCATACAAGCCATTCTGATAGACGAGTTATAATAATAAAGTAATTAAATGATTGACCTCCACTTGATAAGAACCGTGCAGTAAGTTTAGGGATTGCACAACATCGTTGATATGCAAGGTATAATAAACATGGTTTAGCAATTAAATAACCGAATTGCCTCAGAGTATCAAATATATAATACAATTTAACGGCCAATTCATCAGTGCACCTTACATAACTTAATACATTTGCACAATCCGAATCTGGAATCTCAGCACCCGAGCAAGAATAACTTGCTATTATTTGTGCAAGCATCACTATTTCATTAAAAAGTATTGCTAGATTAATAATGATTATAATTTTGTAATTCGTCCAGTTTGTAATGTCAATGCCAAGCTTTGACCGCATTAAACAAAATGAGTAAATAGTAAGAACAAGACTGATTCCAAGGTGCCATGCCGATATAATTGCTTGTATTCTATTAAGATAAGTGTTATCTTTATAAGAGTTCATTAAGTTTCTTTAACTTTCAAATAATACTTATTTATATAATTTTTATTCAAATAATAGATTGTTGTGATTGTATTGTTTCGAAAATTTAAGATTAGGGTTAGAGTTAGATAATAAGGTTTGATTCTTATACATACTTATTTTACTTATTTGTGTGCGTGATACAAGTAACACTCAAAGTAATACAAGTTCAAACAAGGAAATATCATAATGATTATAGTATAAGGATAAATTACCAAATTCCATCTAGAAATTTCATTTTGACATTTTTAATTAGTGACACCAAGACAGATTTAAACGCTCATTTTCTTTTTTTTTCTTCAGCTTGTGAACATCTCTGGATGAAATCTACGATCTCCGATTTGATAATTTCCCTTTCTGTATTTGTATCAAAGAAACCCGAAAATCTTATAATATTTGCATTGCTCTCTTAGCGATGGCACTCGAATGGCTATAAAAAAAACCCTTGATACGTATATTATGCTCTGATCTAAACGAAATTAAGGATGTAAGAGACCTGGCGTTTTTGACTAGTAATTTATTATATAATTTCTTACTTGTAAACGTAGGTCATCTACATACTATTTATGGTAACTAGGTACGTTGTACGTACAATGAATTTAGCCAATAATACAATTCAATTACGTAAACAATTTAAAAAGTTACATATGTACGCACGTACGTACTTTCTATATACGATAAAAAGCCTACCGACTCATTTTTCAATTGCTTTATTTGGAAAGTTATCTAAAGCAGAATTATATAAATAAAGTTTTAAAGTTAGAGTTGATTTGAAGTTAAGATTAGGAAAGATATTATTAGCTGTTAAGTAAAATAGATCTTCCATTTTTAGATTTGACTTTTTTTTTCGTTTCATAAAAATCTACGATTTGATTTGTTTAATCATGTAGATTCCCCAAATAAAGGATACTGAAAATGAGTATTGTACGTAGAATACGTATTAATCATTTATATATTTAAAGATAATTAAGCAAATTATTTGGCGGCTATAATGCACGTTTAGTAGAAACTTACAAGTTCTCCTGAAGTTAGATGCATTAGTAAGCAAGTATGTACTACTTCAGCTTTCATATCATACTATTAAGGAAGGAGAGTGATACGCACAATTTACTAAATTCATCCAAGATTTAAACACAGCATAAAAGTTATGCAAATAACCTTTGTTTATTTATTTTTGTCAAGAGAGATCTTGAATATGGATCATGCAGTATATAATCGAAGAATAAGTGGCAGTTATAGTTACACGAAATTAAGATCATTTCCATGAACCTAATTACAAGCAGAAAAATTATGTTTCCAAATTGACTATTATACATACGTATTAAATACGTATCGATATATCTTTTTGTTAAATTTTTTTTTTGGTTTAAGATAATATATATAAGAAATACATATAAGAAATACATATAAGAAATAGATATAAATTATATAAATTGGTTTGTAAACCAATATTTCTATTTATTATTTGGTCACTAGAAATTGGCTCACCACAATACTTTCCTCAAGGTTGATTTTACATTTTGTGTATTTGTGTACAATATTCCTAATTTGATTTGGTAAATATTGCTACGCCTACGTTTAGCATTGCGTGCAAAATTTATATTATTTAATTGGGCAGTTACGTACATACATGACCTACTGCAAACTACTCATGACTGCTGCAAACTATTCATGAACTCGGAACCAACTTTTAACGTTAATGCATTAAATGTAACTTTTAATTACGTATTTATATACTAAAATTTAAGCCTGGTTCATTTTAAAACAAATAATTAAGATCATGTTAGCGTCTTTAGAACTTTCACCTTTAGAATCCTCATTTTTAGAACCTCTTCCATCTTTAGGAACTTCGTCTTTAGAACTTCCTTCTTTAAGAATTTTATCTTTAGAGCCTCCATCGTTAAGAACTTCGTCTTTAGAACTTTCCTCTTTAGGAATTTCATCTTTAGAGCCTCCATCTTTAGGAGCTTCGTCTTTAGAATCTTTAAACAGATGGATAAATACATTGATTTTGAAAGGTCAAATTAATTATTATAAATCCGATGAATTCATTAACTCAAAAGTAGTACGTAATGGTGGATTTGGGATAATCTTTACATCTCAATGGAAAACAATGAATTTAACAGTTGCTCTTAAGACTTTAAAAACTGTTGATGATTTTGAATGTATTAAAGCGTTCGGTGAAGAGGTATCATCTCTTAATACACTGCTACTAAGATCTTAATGGTACAAGGTTTAATTTTTCATTTACTCAATTTTCTTACATTTCTATGAAACATGTAGCTTCAACTTTTAAAGAAAATTAGTGTATTTCCAAATATTATTAATTTCTATGGAATAACCGATGGTAATATACTAATAACTTTATATGCTTAACTTACTTATACATGTCAATTGTTTATTATAATATAATAAATTTATCATTAATTCTATCTTATAGGCCCCGAAATGGGATGTTATAGTATGATTCTTCTTTTTGCAGATAATGGAAATTTGTAAGAGTATTTAGGCAAGAATTTTCCAAAATTAAATTGGACTAACAAATTGGAAATTGCAAAGGGAATACTTAATGGTCTAAATATTTTATACCAAAATGGTATCATTCATAGAGATCTTGTGAGTACATAGTGTATGAATTTTTTTTCCTTAATAGTAGACAAAAATATTAATATTGACACTTTGATCAGTAAAAAAAATCATGACATTGTGGTTGATAGTGTTTGAAAATTTTAACAAAATACTTCTTAGAATACTTCTTAATACTTCTTAGAACATCACTTTTCGTCATCAAGCATTTAGATAAACTTTTATTCCGACGAAGCTTAACAACAAATGTTATATTATATTACAAAGTCAGCAATAGTATACTTATTTATTTTAGCATGTCAAAAATAATAGGTAAAATAATGGATCAAAGGAGCAATATTGCTATAATATCTTTGTCAGAAGTCGAGAGGTTGACTCAAGGGTTATTCATGAAACATGTCAAATTTCGATTGGGAATTTTTTTAATTTAATTGTGGATGTACAGATAAAAAAAAATGTCTACATTAATGATCCTATGAGTTAACTATTTTGAAATTTTAATACTATATAATGTTTTAAACTGACTTTTACTTAATATAAATTTTTATTTATAGCACTCAAAAAACGTTTTAATTCATCAAGGAAAACCATTGATCGCCGACTTTGGATCTGCAAAAAAAGTGAATGAATCAGCATTAAATTCAAATATTTATGGGGTAGTTCCATATATAGAGCCTAAGTGTTTGTTTGATCATAGATATAAGCGTGATAAGAAGTCTGATATATACAGTTTCGGTGTAATTCTTTGGGAAATTTCAAGTGGGAAGCCTCCGTTTACGGGGCATTCCGATGTTTATATGAAAATATTAAAGAATAAAAGAGAAAAGCCTGTAGATAATACACCTTATGAATATATTGAACTATATGAAAATTGTTGGGATCAAGAACCAGATAAACGACCGGAAAATCAGTCAATTTTGGCAAAATTAAATGAAATATCTGACAAATTGGCTTCTTATATAGATACCATACCAGAATCTGATAATACTGATATCGTATCATTAACATATAGACCACCATTTATACTATCAAGTGAGATTATCGATCCTGATCATGCTGCGCATATTGCTTCCTGGATTGATCGATCGCCTAAGTATAAAATAAATAATATTCCATACAAATTTAAATTAGTTTTTAGGTCAAGTGTAGATGGTTTTCGGGTTAAAGACTTTCATAAAAAATGCAATGGGAAAGCAAAGACTGTACTCGTAATAAAAATTGGCCCGAATGAGATTATTGGCGGGTATAACCCGCTTAAATGGGAAAAAAAATCTTCTAGTAAATTTGTAAAAACAGGTGACAGCTTTATTTTTTCATTTAGAGATAAAAACCCGATATTAAGTCGAATTGATGATGATAAACAAAAGAAAGCAATTTTTTTTTGTTCTAAAACTCATGGTCCAGCTTTCGGTGATGGTGACCTTTCTTTGGTCTCTAATCAACTTATAACTAACAAATGGTTGTGCACAAAAAATTGTTATAAAGAGTCAATCAGAGATCCAATTGGTTACTTCGAAATAATTGACTATGAAGTATTTGAGCTATATTAAGCCTAGCTTGTTTACCCAAGAAGATGCTATATGGTTACTTTATACCGGAGCGATTTCAAGTAAACAAATAATACTTTAATGCATTTGATATGGTTCACTTTTTCTGTTAATGATCTATAACATTACATAACAAAAGATTAAAAACATTAAAGCATATAAGAACTGACATGTATTTTTTTGATTTTTACATTTCTCTATAAGTAATGTATAACTTAATGAACTCATCCCTGGATGATTATACTTCATTTAGTCGTTGATCTAAAGTCTTAAAGGAGTTTGTATCTGCTAAATTCAAACTAAATAACCTAAGTTGAGTTTTTTCTTAATTGTATTTATTGTATATAACAATTATTTGACAAAATAGCAATGTAATTAAAAAATATAATTTATGTAAAGATGTAATTTTTGAGAATTAGTTATAACTATTAATTAATTATTAGTAAATTTTGTATTTGTATATATGCCGATATTGTTATTTCTCGAAATTTGATAATAAAATTAATTACTTTGGGTTATAACGAAAAGTTCTTTTTTTTGCAAAATTCTATTATGTATAAAATATTTTTATTTGTAATAAATAATATAATTTTTTTATAATTTTTTTTTTATTTTTAATAATTTGTAACTATTATTAAAATCTTATACAACGAACTTACGGTTCTGGAAGAAAAAAAGTTCATTATAGAAAAATTACTATGCTTCTTATGGACCCATGGCATTTCTATATCGAACTATGAAATTTTTCAATTCAATATATCGAGAATTCGTTATACGTATCCAGTGTAGGAAATCTGTTTTGAAATTTATGTTTTCGTGAGAACAAAATTATTAATTTGATCCATTTTTATGCTCTCAAAAACAAAATTTTATGTTACATTATTTAAATTTTTGTTCCATTTTCTTTCGAGATTTACTCAATTTCTACTTGTTAACCTCATCCAATATCATACATATTCATATAGGGAACATATTTAATTTAACAAATGTTCTGAAATCCAAAAGTATGTTCTCATGAGAACATGATAACATTAGATTTCCAACGCTAGTTATATCCAGAGTCCAACCTGCACAGATTATTTAATTTGAGTTATTTCGGGACATTTCGGGATATCGTTATTCCGGGTAATTTCGGGAATTGTTATTCCGGGCAATTTCGGGAATTGTTATTCCGGGTAATTTAGGGGCACTATTATTTCGGGTAAGTTCGGGTTATCTACTATCTTTGGTCATACAGGAGAGACCGTTGATATTACACGACTGATCCTTCACCGGTGTGCAACATATAAAAACATTATTATACAACACCAGATCATTCCGCTAGTACATGTTATGATGACGCCATTTTATTATCATAATATGTACTAGCAGAATGATCTGGCATTGAAACCTAATTTTTTTTTTATGTTACACACTGGGCGAAGGATCAGTCGTGTAGCATCAACGGTTTCTCCTGTACTTTGATCATAGACTCCGGACATGCAGTACGGAGACTATACGAACTTTTTTCCGAAATTTAAAAATTCTAAAAACAACTTTATGCAATAATCTCGGCATCAAGTAGCCAAATTGGACGAACTCTCTTTTGTTTGAAAGACTTAATAATCTCTATCTAACAAAGAAAAAAAAATCGTCAAAATTGGATTACGGGATCTTGAGATATCTAAAAATTTGCTTTTAAACTTTTATAAATTTGATCATTTTAGTAGAAATTCCGTTATAGCATTTATCAGAGATGTCCGAGTCCTGAACCATCGCACAATCTGATTAAAACCAGTTTTGAATATTTATAAGATTTAAGTAACTTGTTGGTTATGCTGTAACATAGATCATAGATTATCAATGTCTTTCAACTTCTCGATCCGACAAACCATCTAACCTAACATCACAGCGTGATAATTTAGAATTTTATTAAATTGCAGATATATTTTGTTAATGAATTCTCACGCTACACGATGTCAGTTAAATGGCTTGTCGGGAAACGACCATCGGGAAATTTATCTTCATTAATGAATTAAATATAATTTAGGAGCAGTGCATGCTTTAAGTACGTATGCACAGATAGACACGCTTTGGCACATGCCTTTTTCAACCAAATTTATACACGCCTATGCACAGTAAAAAAAAAAAAACTGCGTATCTGCTGCGTATCTGAAATGTGTACCAACAAATTATTTAATAAAATCGGGTAAGAAAAACTTTAATGGTTTTCCTGATTGAAACTGGTTTGAAAAGGCGTAAAGATGCTATCACCTCCTTTTTTGAACGTTCAGGTGGAATATTTTGGTGTAACATAACATATTTCCTGTATGTGCATACGGTACATGTAAATGATAGAATGTTCTGTGAATGTTTATTTTGTTTGGTTAGGTATTGGATTCTGTGTCAGGTTTGTGGTGCATATTTTCAGTTAACAAAAAATTTTGTTAATTGCGTTAGTTATTAGATTAATATTAGAGAACAAGTAATTAAATAGTAAAATCGCTCGAAGAAACCTTTTGTTAGAGCACTAAATGTTGATTTATATGTATATTTCTTAGCAATAGGCGATTTTTAACAATGAACGTCGTTTTTTTAGAAATCTGCGCATAATGATCGACAAAGCTTGGCGCATAATCCATGCGTGACAAATGAAATTATTAGGGGATGAGATAAAGCATGTGACCAATTTAGGGTTTGGTTGGTTTATTTAATAGGTTGATCTTTTTGATTGGTTTTACGTCATCCTCGACCTCTATATTAGGCAATTTGTTTTTTTTTATACAAAAATTGTAAAAATTAAAATGTAAAATTCATTCCATTGACAAGGTTTGGGGCTTTTCAATATCATCCCATTGAAGTCGATCTATTTTTATTGGTGTTCATTTCTTTCTTCAATAAAACAAATAAAACAAGAATGTTAGTAAATAAAACAAATCCAAAACAAAAAAAAAAAACTCCCACACCGTTTAACAAAAATTTTCATTATAACAATTACATGCGTAATGGAATAATAATAGGACAATTTAATGTGCCACTAATAGTTGACATACTTCTAATAGAATTTCTTAACACATTCAAACATTGGTCACGTGATTAACACTATATAAACCGTATCGCTATTCAGTAAAGGAATTATTTTACGAACAAACGAGTTTTATTTCGTCTGTGAAAAATGGTTAATGAACAGAGCGGCGTTCTTTCGGGAGTTAATCCCATGACTGTTAATACAGCTGACCCTCTAACACTCACTATAGTACAGGTAAAGCGTCCCAAAATTTTTTACGGGATAAACCGGAATTCATCCGGGGAATCCTCGTTTTGTTTACATTTACGTTCGCGCGAAGTGAGCGATGATGCAAAAAAAACCAAATTTATTATATTTAACCTTTATGTCATCTAATAGGTCGTTATAATAGTAGTTTTTACTCGCCTCCTCCATCTTGGTCTTAAACATATTCGACAACCACGAGTCATATCTGAAGTGCTAGGTGGAATTATCCTTGGTCCTACTATAATGGGCCATATTCCGGGATACATAAATACCGTCTTTCCAAGCAGCTCCCTTACTTACCTTAACCTTCTTGCTAATTTTGGCCTGGTCCTATACTTATTCCTAGTTGGTTTAGAATTGAATCCAACAATGATAAAAAATAGTATAAAATCTGTTGCTTTAATCTCTGCATCTGGTATTTTATTGCCTTTTGCTCTGGGTGTAGGCGTCGCATATGGTCTTTATGATTCAATGGATAATCATCATGTTGGTGACCAGCAAGTTCCATTTACAAGTTTTTTGTTGTTCATCTGTGTTGCCATGGCTATTACGGTAAAAAATTCGTTTACATAATTATTTAAAACGCGTTTCTCCGTAGTGACATCAACATGGTTGTTAAATTACAGGCCTTCCCGGTTCTCGCGCGTATATTATCGGAGCTGAAACTTATGGGTACTTCTGTGGGTAATCGTGCGCTATCCTCTGCTGTTGGTGACGATATTACCGCTTGGATTTTACTGGCATTAGTCATTGCGATAATTAATGCCACAAACTATCTCACAGCTCTTTATTCTTTCTTACTCTGCGTTGCTTGGACTTTAATTGTTGGATTTGTTATTCGCCCTATATTGCTAAGATCCATTGTTATAACCGATTCAAATAAACCTTCTCCATCAACATTAATGATTGCCATTACTTTATCAGTTGTTTTAATATCTGCATTTGTTACAAATATTATTGGAATTCATTACATTTTTGGTGGTTTCATCGTTGGGGTAATCCTTCCTCATGAAGGAGGTTTCACAGTGGGACTTACTGAAAAAATTGAAGATATAATTACTGTCCTATTCTTGCCTATAGTAAGTATTAACTAATTTATAAAATCGTAAATTTTATAAAAAGTACATACGTTCTATATACGTATATATTTAGAGATCTACTATTTCCACCATGGCAATTTGCTACTTCTACTATGGATTTATAAAATTCGCCTACCCCTAACCCTATCTCTAACCTAATTCGGGTCATGATCTACATTCTGTGGTGGAAATATCAAAATAATTTGGTGAAATATTAGATCCGTATATTTATATGTCACATATTACTAACCATATTTATCTAATTTTTTTTTAAAGTATTTTACATTATCTGGATTGAAAACCAATATTAGTGACTTGGGTGCTGTAGGATGGGGTTGGGCAATCTTGGTCATCATCGTTGCTATGGTTGGAAAAGTAACTGGTTGTACCATTGCCGCTAAATTAACAGGTTCAAATCGTAGAGAAGCTTTAACAATTGGTGTTTTTATGAGCTGTAAAGGGTAATTATTAAATTAATATCGAATGAACACTAACAATAATGGTAACTCCTTTAATGCTAATGATAAATTGAATTCATTATATATAATGCAGTCTTGTAGAATTAATTATTCTCAACCTTGGCTATGATGCAAAAATCATAAATGGTAGAGTTTTCTCGATCATGGTCATCATGTAAGTGCTATTATTTGTTATTTATATTAACAGAATAAAATCATTTATAAATATACATGTTCACATAAAATGCATAAACATAATCATGTTGATTTATGTAGGGCCTTGGTAACAACATTTGTCACAACTCCACTTGCTACTTATTTGTATCCTGTTCAGTACCAAAGAAAAATGGAACGTGAACGGTCTAAAAAGGATCTTGAATCAGCAAATGATACAAATGATCTCAAGTTATTGGCTGTATTAGACAAAGTTGAAAATCTCCCAGCTATGATAACTTTTGTCCAACTTTTACAGCATAATAATACTTCTGCCAAATCTGGTTTACAAAATTCCGATCGTGATACCGGTTCAGACATAACTCAAATCAATAAACCAATGAATGTTCATGTTTTACGTCTTGTTGAGCTTACGCAGCGTATGTCAGCGGTGATGAAATTTAATGAAATTTCAGAAACTATTTTACATGATCCAATCATGAATATGTTTTCTGCACTTAGTCAAGTTAGTTCAGTAAAAGTCGAACCCAAATTATCCGTTGCTGCTCCAAAAGATTTTTGTCGAGAAATTATTGAAAAGATACAAGATGCAGACATTAATTTAGTAATAATTCCATGGGGTGGTGCCGGTGAGATTGAAGATGCGCCAATTGAAAATAGAGATCATGCACCACGCGAGAAGAAAAACACAAGTCCGCAGGTTTCAACTTTTATTCAGAATGTTTTCAGTGAAGCAGCAATTTATTCAAGCGTGGCAGTGTTTGTTGATCGTGGTTTTGGTAGCACTGACAACACACATACACTTCCTAATCCTATGGGTTATCTTCATATTTTTGTACCTTTCTTTGGTGGTGCTGATGATCGTGAGGCACTTACTTTTGTTTTTAGATTACTTGAATATCCAAATGTCAACGTAACTGTAGTTAGAATAATAAAATCAGAAAAACCTACTGATAACGATGTCACATTAATAAAACCTGAGCTGCAATCTGAGATTAACAATATAGATGACGTAAAGGATCGACCAATTTCGACTATTTCTATTAGCGAAGCTGTTGCACGTCAAGAAAACGAAGATGATGAATCCTTTTTAGAAATGCACTTAAAATCAAAATCTGGATATCCTGCGAGAAATGCACGTATAAATTATAAAGAAGTTCCTTCTTATACACCAATACAAACTGCTGTTGACCGCGCAAAAGAAGTTGTCAATAGAAAAGATTTAGTTGTTGTAGGACGTAGTCGTCATTCACATCTGAATGAACCTCATCACCATTATGAATTTAAAGAATTAATTAAGAATTTAGGATATTATGGCAACGAGACACATAAATCTTTAGGCTACGTTTCTGAAGCATTTTTAGTTGGGGGTGTTATGGCAAGTCTTTTGGTGCTACAGGCAAAGCAAACTAAAAATAAAAGGAAACGAGTTGATAACGAGTTGATTAAATAATATATATACATATATATTAGTCGGTTAAAGCTTGGATTTGGATATTGCAATATATAGTAAATCTGACTAGTAGCTAAGAACGCCCAAATGTCCACGCTTATTTTTAAGGATTTTTATTTGATTCTTTATATCTAATATTTTATATTTTATTCATACTCTATCTTATAATTGGATTTTTTTTTTTTTTAAAGTTTAATTTATGTTGTTTATCTGTTTAAGATGTAGGCAAATTTTATTAGCTAAATAGTTGCATTTTAGTTACAATTTGCTTACTATTCTTTAAATAGGTTGGGTTTTTAACAATAACGAGACATGTTTATCTTTTTGGAATCGGTGATTTAGCCATTGATTCAATACTATTACTGAGTAGTTTTCTTCTCAACCAACAACATAAGCAGCTATGACATGGCCAAATAGAATTTGACAAAATACTCGAGTCGAAAAACGAGGCAATCGAGGCTGGCATTTTAAACATTATAAGCCATGTTCATTAATAAAATTTTTATTTAATCAATCCACGGGCATAAAAGCTACTTAGCTCATAGGAGAAAAAATATCATTTGTGATTGTCATATGATATAGCGAAATCTATTAGACTGTGAACGATGGATGGATTTGACTACTAATACTAACGTAAATTTACAGGATAAATTACTATTAACTATTACTAACTTTAATATTAAATCTGATATATATAAAATACAGGTATAAAAATCGCAAGCTTGATCATTGTGTTCTCTAACTTATTGTTATTGAATCTTTGATTGAATGAATCGCATATAACGTGAAAATAACGTGATCATAATGTGAACATAACATGAACATAACGTGAACACGAGATACTAAGAACATTGAATCCATTACGAAACAGGGAAAGTTGTAGTATTAATTTGCTTTATTTTTTTAGTAAAAATTAAATAATCCATCGATTAACAAACTTAAGAGCTTTGGTTCATATATTAGGTTGTCAAGGATCCTTTATTTGTACAGGTCTATGCGATGAAAATTATAAAAATGATGCCAAACAATCTATCATCATATATCAATAATTTGAGAATGATTGATTCGATCATTGCAATTAAAGGCTTAAAAATTATTTGGGCTATTCCGAACTTATTTACTACTATTTAAAATAGAAGGTACAGATCTGCTACTAATGCTAAAGCCCGTAGAATTCATCTAATCCATCAACAATGCAAATATACCGGATAGGTTATGAATAATACAATTATTCATGAGCTACTCGGTTATCATATGTGATTAATAGTTTAATTAGGTTCGTGGCAAGATATAAGTCTTTTAGAATTCTGATATGATGAAATACCCTAGTTGACCAGGATAAAGTCACATAACACATGTGCATCTTAGTTCTGGTTGCAACTTTGGGTCGTGAAGATTGAATGTTGTCATTATACTAGGAAACTGATACCGATAATACTGGAACATTATTTATTTCTTTTACCTGAATATCAATGTTAATTTGCTGAAGCATTGGATAATTAATTTGGTTTACCTCTTCATAGAACACTTCTAATTGTTCGAAGCGTAGCGTAGGTCATTATACTACTACTCTGTCTGTCCGCACACGTGCGATAGACAATAAAAATTCGCATGTCACGTGTATGACCAACAAATCACTTGATCAAATTTATATAAATGGGTATCTTATTTATACACTTTATGTATATAGATTATTAAAAATAGTTTGCTTCGGACCTTATTGGTTTCCAATACCTAGTAATTATGCAGAAACTAAAATATCAATAATAGTTGGGACTAATAAAAAAAATACTAAGCTACCTTATTATAAGACAAATATTTACATGTTTGTGTTTTATACGCTTCCAATTTAGAACTTACTATCGCGATAATTTAATACTGCATATATTCCATACCGTATTCAATATCAATTGCAAAAATATTAGTTTGTATGCAAATTAATCCATTCTATCAACTAGTTAGTTTTTTTAAATTTTGGTTTTCAAGTGCTAGCATTTCAAATATGAAATTTGGGTTTTGCCACAAATAATAATATTTACATACTGAAATTTCAAACTATATATAGGTTTATCTATTGTTCATACTTCTATTTTAATTTTCCTAGTAGTAGTTCATCTACCTCAATACCAACAAATCTTAATTCATTTGACAATACTTTACCTTTTAAATTTTATTTATTGTTGGTCTTGGAACTTACTTGGTGTATTTATCATTATTTCAAGCACAATATGGATTTTTTTTTTTGTAAAAAAAGAAGTGTATGAATCTTTTATAACATGATGAACCTGCATAGACACAATGTATTATTTTTATTTAATCAATTGTATAGAATTGTATAGAATAAGACAAATAATTTTGTTAATAAAATATAACTGTTAAAATAATTAATAAATATAGACAGGCTGCTGAATATCTTTGTTAATTGTACCTTTTTACTAATTTATTAATTTTTAAAATTACTATATAGCTATATGGTTTTGTGTAAAAAGGTTGATACATAAAAATTGTTATCTAAATTCCTTCTATAATTTAAAACTCAAAAGTAAAGTTAAATAAATGAGATTTACATAAAAAATTAGATAGAATCGCAATAAAATTTATATATTTCTTTTTACAAATCCTACAGTATCATTTTATGAGTAAGTTAAATCTAGTAACCAAAAAAGAATTTCTTTATGTCTACAAATACTTTTTAATTGCCTGACAATACTAGCAACAACATCAAGTCTTATTACTGCACAAGGAGATTCATAAGATTTTTGAAATTGAAAGGAAATGATTCTATATATGACTGTGAACATAAAAAAAAAATGACCAATTTTAAAATCAAAGAATTTGGTAATTCATAAAATTTTTTCATACAAGCTTAAAATTTTAATAAAATCTATATTGGATAATATTTTAAAACTTAGTTTATTTAAATATATATGTTGTACATCGGGATAGAATTATTGTTGATTTAGGTTGGAATAGAATTCCAAATATACCCAAGTTGAAATGAAAATTAAAAGCAACTTAAGTTGATTCCATATTTGATACTGTAATAATCGATAAATTTAGTAGCAAGTTGATTCTAACTTCGACATTATATTGTAGATTTGCAACGCGCCTAAATTGATTTCTAATAAACATAGTGTGATACCGGTGACACCAGCGAACGGCGTCGGCGTTTCAGTCCCTTCTCAATCGGATACGTCGTGTCACCTACGAATCGGCTTAGTCGATAAGAGGCGGTTAGATTTGGCGAGTGGTATGTTATGATCGTAGGTATTATTATAACGACAGTGGTATATTATTATTAGGGACGGATTCTATTTGAATCACGAATACTCTATCCATCTCTTCATAGGGCTCAAGGCCTTTATTATATACTTTCGTTTACATAGGGCATGTTATACATTCGATTCATGATACATCGCTTATACTACTTATAACGTCTATACTAATTATATTGACGATAATGTTTATATCAATGATATCGATCATATTGTTTATACTGATTATAACGTCTATATCACTGATACTAATTATATTCTCTATACCCTATATCCCTCTGATACCCCTTATTGTGCTAATACCCATTATTAGTCCGATGCATAAGATACATAGCATACAGCGAATACAGTGTATACTACGTATACCTATTTCAGGTATATGATCTACATACCCATCTGTATCACTTCGATCACCTCCTTCCGGAATCACAGTCCTACGGCTCACACCGTCACCGCAATAGAGGAAGTTCCAACCCCGATTCGACGAAGAGTAATCCCGGGTTAAGGCATACAAGAGAAGATAAAGGTTGATAGAAGCATCGGTTAAAGGAAATACTTGAGGAAGAAGACTAGTACTTACCTACGGATAAACCACCTGCCAAATCTAACACGCCTATTTCGACTTAGCCGCCGTAGGTTACGCGAGAGTTAGATTAGAGTAGCGACCGAATCGCCGATTCCGGAATTACAATGTAAAGCCAATTAGATCACAGGATCTTGTGTAACAAAAATTCTTAAGAAAAAAATAAAATTGCAAAATATTTCAAAATTTTATCATGAAAACTAACTTTAAGCTATTAAGTAAAAGATTTCAGCACGTAATTTTTGGTATATGAATCCTAACTCTAACACAAATTCGAACCCTAACCCTAACCTCCAAAAGTTTAATTTACTTATTAATTTTAACAATTTTATAATACGGGTGATGTCACCTAGGGTGAAAATTAGTTATATTCTTACAAATAAAGGCCCAAAAACCAAAATAATTACAAATAAGAACTCAAAATGAAATTAATTACAGATAGAGGCCTGATATTTTAAAATAAGGACCCAAATATATCATCATAACGGTATCATGGTTAGTGATGTGCAAATTCCAATTTTTTCTCATTTCATGCGCATGGGAATTATTCGGAATCTTTATGAGTTTTCGGAATATTCCGGGACCTATTGAAAATTTCCGGCTCATATTATCTACCAGCATTATATTGCTTCGCCGGCATTATAAAAATCATGCAAATGATCATGCGCATTGCCCATCACTAATCATGGTTAATTGTCTTATTTCATGATTAAATAGGTGTTTTAGAGTTATCGTTCATTATTTAGAATTACAGTCAGACCTCTATAGTCACTTCCTCTATAATCTCATTTGCCTATAATCACAAACTTTTAAAACCAACTCATATAATGCATATAAATTTCACCTTCAAAATTCTTGAAACCAAGGATATGATTATAGAGAGTTTGACTGTAAAAAAAAAAAAAAAAACAGAAAAAAATTACATCCAAAATGAAAACTTAGCTTTGTGTGACCTAACGAATTTACTTATCTCGTGCTTAAAGGTTGACAAGCTGGATCATGGAAATTGGCCTTACTCTATGAATGTAGTCAGCTTTACACATGTTAGCTGAAATAGGAAAAGGGCATGAACTGGTTTCATTTGTAAAACAAACAGTTAACAGATTACTTGGTTTGTTCATTCTTAACTTAGAATTCAACAGAATAACAGTTTACTTGGTTTGTTCGTTCTTAACTTAGTATTCAACAGAATAACTGTCCAAGGCAGAATGGACATTTTCCAAGTTTGTAAAAGTCATACCGACTTGTAACTTTGTATTTAACGTTTATGAACAGGTTTTAAGAAATATATAAAAGAATTTCAATGAAATAAATTTACAGCATGAATAATGGGTTGAATAGAAAGTACCTTTTTTATTGTGCATTGGAATTTATATTTGAATTACTGTACCAATAGATTATTATTACATTTCTTACGCATTAACAATCAATGATCATATTCAAATTATCGAAACGGGCTAAATCATAGGTCTTTATGCGTATAATTATTTTGGGCCCTTATTTGTAATAATTTTCAAATATCGGGCCTCTATCTGTAATTATTTTC